ATTATGAGAATTGTCTTGAATCATAGAAATGGAGATAAATATATTGTAGATGTATGTGGGTGACGTATCGATTAAAATACGTTATTGCAGTATTGTGGCATACTGCAACTTAAGAGATGAAAATAAATTGTTGGTAAAGAAAAGGATTAATAAGCCTATTATGAGCATTGACATTTATTATATATTACTTGTCATTATAGAATGTGAATGAATTTTCTCATAGTTTTTTTATTTATATTTAATTAATTATAATTTCTTATGTACTACCGGTATTAATTTTATAATGCTGTTTGAAGCGTTTTCTGTATGCGATGTTTTTGATATGATATAACTAAGCTTGCTAATATGGATAATTTTTCATTCCTGATGATGACATAATTAATGTCGAAATATTGAATCCCAACACGATGGCGTGTATTTCAATACTTGGAGTATGTATTATACTTTCTTATCTGAGATTAATCAGTGGACCTTTCGGTTTTTGAAACTTTTAGTTTTGTTTTATTTCAATGCCTTTAGTTTCAGATGAAAATTATAACGACATTTTTCTCGCCAATTAAATGTGTATAGGCCTAGTAACTAGTCTTCAAATAACCCATATATTTCTTTCATCAAATTTAGGAATTTTTTTTACTAAAACATCAGTAAATCATTGATTTTTACATCTGTAACTTATTGAAAGATAACTTATGTGGTTCTGTTAGACGAGTAATTCAAAGTTATCTTAATGTCATTTTTATGGCATTTAAATTAATTTTGTGGGTGATTTATTAATTGGTTGACAAAAGAAACAGTGATATAAAACTAAAAAACAATACAATATTTAATCATTAATTTACCATGGAATTCAGGTGATAGATTTGACCTTCGGGTCCGATGAGTGCTTGGCATTTAATTTAAGCTGTTGCTTAAAAAGGTTGACAATTGGTAATTGGTCGACAAAAGAAAGAGTGATTTCTGGACTTATAGTCAAAATCAGTAAAATAATACAATATTCAATCATTAATTTACCATGATAAATTTTACCTTCGGGTCCGATAAGTGCTTGGCATTTAATAGGACCCGAACGGGTATCTGTAAGTGCCATAGACATGACATGAACATTTTAACTAAGCTCCGACCATGGTGGGGCTGATGTGATATCGATTATCGATTACCAGTCTGTAAAATTTATTTTATGACCCCCACCCCTGTAGAGCCCACAAATGTAAACATCTACCACAAATGTAAAAATCACCACAAATGTCAAAACATTCTACCCGCAAATGTCAAAATAACCCCAAATGTCATAACATGTCAACCACAAATGTAAAAATAACCACAAATGTAAAAAAAATCAACCACAAATGTAAAAAAATCGCCCACAAATGTAAAAATCTGCTTAACTACAAATGTAGTAACATTTCACCTACAAATGTAAAAATTTCCATTTTTACCTCAAATGTCATAACATGTCAACCGCAAATGTGAAAATTTTCCGTAGCACTTAAATCCTTACAATATTCAAAGACAATATTTAAAATTAACTGCTATAGTAGAGCAGCCTAAAGCACCAAGTTGCGCATCATGTCCTCATTAAACACTGTATAATCGTCCAGAAAACATGGCTCATAACAAGAATGCGTGAATATATACATAACAGCAAAATAGCAGATGCAATTAGTTGTGGGTAGTGGTTAGCTTGTTGGCCATCGGCATTGAGATCAGCAGGATGGCAGGATCATTGTATTTTTCTTGAAAACTCAGATGAGAATGTACTTAAGGTCGAAAAAAGAAAAAGAGGAGTAGGACTAGACATAGAAAGACAAATATGTAAAAAAGATTAAAGTTGGAAAAAAAAAAGAAAGAAAGAAAGAAAAAAATGATAGCCCACAACACCTCCAATGTTATTTTCGGGTGTCTAGAACACAAAAATTTTGCGGGGGCATCCCCCCGGACCCCCTAGAACATTGTTGTCTCGATCGGCCCCAATTTTGGCCCCCCCCCCTTCCGCCCCCCCCCCCCCTTTTGGACATTTCTGGATCCGCCCCTGAAATACACTGTCTGTCCAGGGATCGGAGCTCTCATCTGTCCAGGGAAAGGAACTCTAATCTGTCCAGGGATCGGAGCTCTCATCTCTCCAAGGGAAATATCCTTATTTTGATATTGACTGAAGAGAATGTGTTTCCACTCTACAGCTCAAATCATGCCAACACCCACAGTTCCAAGATTGATTGGATTATTGACTTGCTAAAAAAAAAAATCTTATGAGGGGCCGCTTATTCAAACGGGGCGCTTAAGGAAATTTTCACGTTAGGAGGGCGGTTGTTCGAGAGGGGCGCTTATTCAAACGGGGCGCTTATTCGCGCGAGTACGGTATAGACATGCTGTAGGATCCTTTGTGTCAAAGGTCAAAAATGTCATTTCCGTTCAGTTTTAGAAAAAATGTTGCATTAGTGCAAATAGGTATATGTTCCAAACAAATTGAGGCTAAACTTAGGTCTCTATGACCAACGGTTATGGAGATTTAAATATCCTACAGACAATTAAGAATTGTAAAGCGCCTAGAGGGATCTGTGATCTGTTAGGCGCTATATAAATACGGTATTATTATTATTATTAATATCCTACAGGGTACCTAAGGTCAAAGTTTATAAACTTAATTTCCAGTCACTTTAGGACATGATGTTGCATAATAGGAACATGCATGTTCTGAAACATTTCAGGCCAAAATTAGGTCTCTGTGGCCAACTGTTTTTTGAGATATGAATGATGCTTAATATCTAGGGTCAAAGGTCAGAATGCATTTCTGGTCACTTTTGGGCAAAATTTTACATTAGAGCAAATAGAAACATGCATCTTCTGAACATTTTGAAACCGAAACTAGGTCTCTATGACCAACAGTTTTGGAGATATGGATATGCTGGTTCATGTAGGCTCAACGGTCAAAAATGCCATTTCTGATCACTTTTGAACAAAATGCTACATAAGAACAAAAAGCAACATGTATGTTCTCAACAATTTCAGACCAAAACTAAGTCTGTACGATTTTCCATTGTCAAGATACTTTATATGGATCCCGTCTTTTAGAGGCGGTCATTTTAAATTCAATATGGCGGCCATAGCAGGCGTCAAACCTGGCACACAATTTTTGTTTAATTCACACATATTAAAGATATTTTGTGCCAAGTTTTATGCTTTGGTAATAAAGTGCACTACTTGGCCCTTAGCTGCCCTACTAAAATACGCAACTTGGTGCTTTAGCTCTACTATAGCAGTTAATTAGGGTCTTTCAATATCCTAAGGATTTAAGTGCTTAGGAAAATTTTTACATTTGCGGTTGACATGTTATGACATTTGAGGTAAAAATAGAAATTTTTACATTTATAGGTGAAATGTTACTACATTTGTGGTTAAGCAGATTTTAACATTTGTGGGCGATTTGGGGTTATTTTGACATTTGCGGGTAGAATGTTTTGACATTTGTGGTTATTTTTTACATTTGTGGTACATTTTTACATTTACGTGGGCTCTACATGGTGAAGGTGATATTTTAATGGACTGAATGCCATATGCACTATTACTATTAATTTTTGTGTTTTCATTGTACGTTTTGACGAATTTGGCTTTTCTTACTTCCCGCCAAAAAAAAAAAAGCATTTGGGAAAAACCCAGATCTGTAGACATCTACAATAATTAACATATAGCAAACGACAGTCTGGAAAACGCATTCGTATTGTGCAACTTTACTTCAGTTTACTCTGTTACACATTTTGTTGATTAGAGCAATTGTAGTACTGCTAATGATTATTCACTCTTCCCGAAATAGTTAACCAACCAACGAGATCTGAAAGATGTCTAAATATAAATTATTAGAGCATCTGGGCAGCGGTGCGTTTGGTGAAGTACACAAGGCAGTAGAATTCTCTACAAACAAGATAGTTGCCATAAAGAAAGTTGGCCTATGCCTAGATTGTTCTGAGGTCATGATTCTTCAAATCATCGGCGCACATAACAATGTTGTTCAGTACATAGAATACTTCACTGATCAAAATAGTATTTACATTGTCTTGGAATATTGCCATTTTGGCTCTATAGACAATTTCTTGAAACACAACCCAAGTCTTGATAAGAATATGCGTATGAGATTCTTAAAAGACGTGTCGAATGGCCTAGCGCATATTCATGGCGTCAACATCGTACATCGAGATTTAAAGCCTGCCAACATTTTGATCGACAATCGACTTGTTGCTAAAATAGCTGATTTTGGATTGGCTAAGGTTTTGAATTATTTAACGACAACAGTGGAGGAGAAGTACATGAAGACAAGGCTTGGCACCTTACCGTACATGGCGCCAGAAGTACTACAAGGACATTATGATGCCAATGCAGACATTTTCAGCATGGGAATTATATTTTGTGGTATTTTAGATGACAACTTAAAAGAACAGGTCGAGAATGAGCTGATTGGTGTGAAGATGTGTCGTGAACAAAACTACATCTACAATGTACCACCAACTATTGGACCATTTATGGAAAGTCTTGTCACTAGAATGCTGCAGAAGGATTACCGTCGAAGACCTACTGCTCTAGACATCAGCCAAAAATTAATGCAGCATTTTGCATGTCTTTGTCTGTGCCATATGGGTTTGCAGCCCATATGTGGGTGGATTTTTAAACCAGCCATTAGCCAGGCTATGCAATCCCTGTACAATAATGCATATATGGCCATGAGCATCCCAGCTAGCATTGGCCGAACGTTCGGTTTTGCTTCGGCCCAACGTGGATTCAACTTGTTGGGAAGACGTCGACCCGATCTGTTGGATCGACGTTGGCCCGATAATGCTTCTGTAACGTCCTCAAACCACGTTGGCCCAACGTACCTGATGTTGCCTAGACGTTTGCTTTTCCAACATTGATTCAGCCAGTTAAAAAGACGTTGGTCCAACTAGTTGGATGAACGTTGGGCCGATATGTTTGTGCAACGTCATCAAACTACGTTGGGCCAACATACTTTTTCTGATGTTGCCTAGACGTTTGCTTTTCTATCGGGCCAACGTCCATCCAGGCAGTTGGAAAGACGGTTCGACTAGTTGAGTCAACGTCGGGCCGATAATGTTTATGCAACGTCATAAAACCACGCTGGCCCAACGTATGTATACTGTACTAACGTTGGTTAGACGTTTGCATATTTATTGGGCCAACGTGAGTTCAGCTTCTTGGAAAGACGTTCACCCAACTGGCTAGACTAACGTTGACCCGACGTAAAGCAAGGTTTACATACATTTTGAGAAAAATGTCGTCTTAACTACTGTACTGGTTGGAGCAACGTCGATCCAAAATTTGTTCTAGCGCCGACTTCTTCAATATACTGGCACAATGAATGTTGAGAGGTCGAGGTGCATTGTAATATAGCTCACGATTTTTTCACCTCGTATTTTTCCTGCTGAATCTTACATTATGGTCAGGCATCATGAGAATACTGATTATGTTTTGACAAAAACCTTATTTTCTTCGCGTGTCAACCTGCAGAGTATTGTAATCCGTAGGTCTCAATAGAACACAAAACATGATGCTCTCTACACCTGACACAATATGCCATAAAACAGTATAGGCCTATATTAGCGCACCATGCCGGCATGTTTTTTTTTTCACATTATGTATACAACAATGAAAAACCATGTTGTATGGTGTGCTAATATTCATTCATTTATTTGGTCAAAATCAACATACAAATCATGGAAACTACTGTGACAGTGTGTTTTTGCAGTCCCTATTTTAGCATTAGTTCTATTCTACCACATACCATTGTTTATACTAATTGCATTTGCAGACTACATTTTCCATCAAACTGCCCAATGACCACTAACCACAAGGTTGCCCAATTGGTTTATTACCCTGATGAGGGAGGATGCCTCATCACTACCATATTCATACCACCTCAAGTAAATAGCTCATCTCATGTTAAAAGATTAATAGAGGGTGCATTAATACCCCCAATCAAGGGTGTCTGGTAAATCAGGCAGTTTTTCATAAGTGTGTTTCATTACTGCTGCAAACTCCAATGGAGCAAGACAGTAATCACATCTCTGAAGTTTTGTCATTCTGAAAGGGTATGTAGTTTTAAGTTTATATTGTTTAGTTTGATAAGTTCATTATATAAAATATGTTAGTGTTTACCATATATTAGTTTAAACTTGGTAATATTTTTAAGAGGTTTAAAGTGAAAGTATTTGCTGACTACTTGGCAAATTTAACAAACTTATTTTTTGTATACAATGCTGAACTTAAATTAACTGTTTCGCATAAGTTTGTGAATGATTTGCTTTTTAATTATCAAGATGTTTGACTTTTGAGATGCATATAGTGTATAATGCACTTTATGTAGTTTATAGATACTGTACAAAGATAATAGGCATGGTTGGACCACCTACTGTAGGTTGACCATGAAGTAGATGATGACTCATGCTAATTACATGATAGTTATATTTTAACTCTTGGTGGTGCTATACTATAAACAAACGATTCAAGATGGCTGCGCCCTTGGAATGTAATCCAAGATGGCGGCGCCTATGTTATAGGCCTATATTAATAGTAAATCAACAATTATATTTTAATTTAAATGCATTTCAATCACGAGTGAATTGGTTACATGAGTTAATACGATTTTTTTAATTAGTAGAGAATAATGTGTTAATGAGATTAATAATGCTGCTATTACTTATAGTCTTATTGTTCTTATTATCAGAGTTAACTAATTAAATTTGTTATGATAACTATTAATTATGAATTCATTACATTTAATATTTTACTTTGTGCATTGTTAGCAAATATTTTGTATTGCCATTGCAGTTATTCAGATTGTTATATCGTACAGTACCATACCGTACATTGATTGGTCATTGGTGACTATAGTCAACTTGCCCGGTGTTTTGCTAGGGGTGAGTCGATTAGATAAATTATAATATGATATAACTGACCAACATTTATTATTTCCATTTCGTGATTGTTATATTACTTTGTGAATTGCCTATAAGTGTTAACGGATTACTTTAGTGATATGATTACTCTTTACTGTGTAATACTGTATGCATTAAGATAGTAAGTTATTTCCTAATTAATTTTAATGTTACTTTAATATACTTATATAGTTTGTTTATTATATCAAGTCTTAATGGCTTATGTATTCTTCTATGATCTTATTAATTGATTGATGATAAATAATTTGTTATTTCACGTGTGAAGCTACCTGCTCCTGCGTTATTAATACAAACTTATTTGTTCATTGTTTTAGGGTTTTAGGTTTAGTTTTGTTTCGCTTTGCCTTTGTTTTGGATACTTACTCCACGGAAATAAAGAACCTGAAGAATGCTACTCAGTCGTTAAGTGTGTTCTTATTAAGCGTCGCACTACATAAAATTGATAAAAAGATTTAAAAAAAGACAGTCGCAAGATTTGAAATCTTTTAAAGGGTTTAACAACTTGTATATACACCGTAAAAAACTTTGGAGTAAAAAAAAAATACTTAAAAACAACAATTAAAAAGTACCGTAGTATTATTGAAACGGGAAAAAGTTAAAAAAAAAAAGAAGTTGATTTTCAACAGGATAGCCGAAGAAACCCAATTACGCAGGTTTATTTCCGTTAAAATTCTGAAAGCAAAGACAAGAGAAAAAATATATAATTAATTATATTCATGAATCCAAAAGAGAGTGAAGCACCGTCATGCCTATTCCAGATTTGATAAGTTTTTAACGAGTTTTCTAAATAGATTACGCTTATGGCATTATTTATTTCACTTGGTAATCTGTTCCATTCTTGAATAGCAGAGGCATAGCATGTGCTATCAATGGTTTTTTAAAGATTTAGGCGAAATATAGTGTAATTGAATTTGGCGTGTGCTATGGCTGTGTTGATCACAGATTTTAAGTAAGATGGAGCAAATTTACAACGATTCTATGTACAGTACTGTGTTGATTTATCTGTGCAACTTCCCTTCCTTCTGGCCAATAAACTATTAAACTGTAATGTTAACTCAAAACTCATTGTGGATACCTGTACTTGATTTTACCTACTTGAGGTTAAATTGAACTCTACAATGTCATCTTTACTACACATAGGCACAGGAGTTCCCCAAGGATGCGTTTTGTCGCCCCTTTTGTATTCAATTTATACAAATGACTGTAGGCCTAAATTAGGCAATTAAACAACAGAAATAATTTAATATGCTGATGATACGGCTGTTATTGGGCACTTTATCTTTATTGGGAATCTTTAGCATGCTTCTCGCGTGATGTTGGACAATTTATAAAGTGGTGCGATCGAAACTTTTTAGAAATACTGTAAATGTAAATAAAACTAAGGAGATGACTATTGATTTTAGAAAAAAGAAGGCTGATACCCCACACATTTCAATTAAAGGTAAAATCATTGAAGCAAACTACTGAATAACAACTATCTGTGTGTGGGAATTGATGATGAACTTAAATTTGACTTAAATAACAAGATCATATATAATAGGCTACAACCGCGTATTTTTTTTTCTGCGCAAACCTAAGTCGTTTAATATTGATCAAACCATTTTTTTTATAAGTCTATTTCACAAATTATTTTAACCTTTTGTTTAGTTTGTGTCTTTGGTAGTCTAAGGTCCAAGATGTTTTAGCCAGAATTGTTAAGTAAGCATCCGGAATTATTTGTGTTGAGAAAGCTCAACCGGACATTTTATACAATAGCTTTGTTTTATAGAAAATCAACTCTGTTTTATCTGATCGTATTCGTCCGCTATTGAATAAATTTGTAAAAAGTAATAGAAGCGATCACATAATATTACAACGTAAAATTAAAACTAACATATATGGAAAGTGAAGTCATTCGTTTCTACAGCAATTCGATTTTATAATGTTTTAGTTTAATAATTATTTTTAACTTACAATTTTAAACAGATTTTTAACTGAAGAAAACTTCATAAATATATATTGTATATTTTTGTTGTTTGCATGTTTTACTGTCAAGGCCAAATCAGTTTCCCCATTGTGGGATAATAAAGTTTTATTGAATTGAATTGAATTCTATCTTCGACTCAAAAAACCAAGTATCAATCTTTTTTGCCCCACATGAGTTCTGGGTCCTTCGTTTATGATGAATCTAACCATGTTTTGTAGAAATTTGAGCTTGTTTTTAAATTTCTGTGTGATTGCCGAAAACCAAGATGAGCATTACATAGTCAAAATGATAGAGCAGAACATAGTATTTCTCTAGAATTTTCATTGAGGAAAGACATATCTGTATAAGAATGTTTGTCTTGCATAAATTTTCTTAATGGCTGTGTTAACAATGTTTTCACACGTTGGAGACTGATCAAGTGATATTCCTAGGTAACTTATCGAAGGGGATTCTTTAATTGCGACTCCACTGTAACTAACTGAGAATTCATTGGCATTTTCAATCTATAATTTGTTTCAAAAAGGATTGCCTCAGTTTTGCCCATTTACCTGCCAACATTTGATAGAGGAAAAGAGGTATGGAATATATTTAGATGACGCGTAGCGCCATCCGA